TGTTGCATAAGTGTCTCAGTCTTCTACCTGGAGTATACCTGGAAAGGGTTTCGGGAGTCAACGCTCCTGCGGCCCAATCTATGAATAGGCCTCATGGTGGATCAGGGCCTGATCAATCAGGCTGTTACTGCTGGCCACACAGAACCCGATGTACAAACCACAGCCCAGCTGGTCAGGTACTGACTTTAGGTGCCTGTCTAGCGTCTTCTTGAAGACAGCCAGGGGCCTACTGATAATCCCCCTTATGTATGCTGGGAGGCAGCTGAAGTCTTGGGTCACTGACACTTATTGTGTTGTCTCTTATCATGCTAATGGCACCCCTGCTTTTCATTGAGGGGATGTTGCATCGTCTGCCGAGTCATTTGCTTTCATAGGGAGTGATTTTCATGTGCAAGTTTGGTACTAATCCCTCTAGGATTTTCCAAGTGCATAAATCATGTATCTCTCCTGCCTGCAATTTAGCAAGTACAGGTTGAGGAACTTCAAGTGTTCCCAGTAATTGAGGTGTTTAATCGCAGTTATGTGTGCTGTGAGGATTCTCTGTACAATTTCTAAGTCAGTAATTCCACCTGCTGTGAAAGGTGTTGTCAGTGTGCAGCAACATTCCAGCCTAGATAGAACAAGTAACCTGAAGAGTGTCATCATGGGCTTCGTATCCCTAGTTTTGAAGGTTCTCATTATCCATCCCGTCATTTTTCTACCAGATGCGATTGAAACAATGTTATGGTTTTTGAAGGTGAGATCCTCTGACATTATCACTCCCAGGTCTTTTACATTAGTTTTTTGCTCTATTTTGTGGTTGGAATTTTTGTACTCCAATGTAGTTTTAATTTCCTCACGTTTTCCATATCGGAGTAAGTGAAATTTCTCATCATTGAAGTTCATATTGTTTTCTGTGGCCCATTTAAAGATTTGGTTGACGTTTGCCTGGAGTCTTGCAGTGTCTTCAATGGAGGACACTGTCATGCAAATTCGGGTGTCATCTGCAATGGAAAATACGGTGCTGTGGCTTACATCCCTGTGTATGTCAGATAGGAGGATGAAAAACAGGATGGGAGCAAGTACTGTGCCTTGTGGAACAGAGCTTTTCAGCGAAGCCGCCTCAGACTTTACCCTGTTTACTACTACTCTTTGTGTTCTATTTGTTAGGAAATTATAGATCACCTGCCAACTTTTCCTGTTATTCCTTTATCATGCATTTTGTGCACTATTACACCATGGTCACACTTGTCAAAGGCTTTTACACAGTCTGTGTATACTACATCTGCATTTTGTTTGTCTTCTAGAGCATCCAGAACCTTGTCACAATGGTCCAGTAGTTGGGACAGACAGGAGCAACCTTCTCTAAACCCATGTTGCCCTGGGTTGTGTAACCGATGGGAATCTAGATGGGTGGCGATCTTGCTTCTTAGAAACCTTTCAAAGATTTTTATGATATGGGATGTTGGTGCTATCAGTCTGTAGTTCCTTGCTATTACGGATTGCGAAAAAGATTTAGGAGCTCTGGTTAGCAGTAATCTGAAACCAAGACAACAGTGCATAAGTGTTCACAATAAAGCTAACAGAATCCTTGGCTTCATATCAAGAAGCATAAATAATAGGAGTCCTCGGGTTGCTCTTCAACTCTATATATCCGTGGTTAGGCCTCATTTAGATTATGCTGCACAGTTTTGGTCACCGTATTACAGAATGGATATAAATGCTCTGGAAAACGTACAAAGGAGGATGACAAAGTTGATCCCATGTATCAGAAACCTTCCCTATGAGGATAGACTGAGGGCCCTGAATCTGCACTCTCTAGAAAGGTGTAGAATTAGGGGGATATGAATGAGGTGTATAAATGGAAGACAGGAATAAATAAAGGGGATGTAAATAGTGTGCTGAAAATATCTAACCTAGACAGGACTCACAGCAATGATTTTAAGTTGGAAAAATTAAGATTCAGGAAGGATATAGGAAAGCACTGGTTTAGTAATAGAGTTGTGGATAAGTGGAACAAACTCCCAAGTACAGTTATAAAGGCTAAAATGTTGTGTAGTTTTAATAATAGGTTAGATAAATACATGAGTGGGTGTGGCTGGGTACGAGTTAGCCCTGATTAGCTTGTGCTACTAGGTCAGTTGCCGGGTTAATTTCTTAAGTGAATGTGACCTGACCTGACTAGGTTGGGTGCATTGGCCTAAGCCGGTAGGAGACTTGGGCCTGCTTCGCATGGGCCAGTAGGCCTGCGGCAGTGTTCCTTCTTTCTTATGTTCTTATATGTTCTTTACTGCCCCCTTTGTGGAGTGAGGCTATATCTGCTGTTTTTAGCAGCTGTGGGATGACCCCTGTGTCCATGCTCCCTCTCCACAGAATGTTAAAATTGCATGATAGGGGCTTCTTGCAGTCTTGATGAACATGGAGTTCCATGAGTCTGGGCCTGGGGCAGAATGTATGGGTATATCATTTATTGCCTTTTCGAAGTCACTTGGCACCATGGTAATATCAGATAGGTTCAAGTCTGCTTGTGTGTTGTGATTATGGGCACGCACTGTAAGGCTTAACAGTGTGAGGTGGTTGTGGACACGCAGTAAAAAGCTCACTGGTATGTGTGATTTTGGGTAGGTGTTACAGTAGGGACCCCCGTATCCGCGGGTCCAGTATCAACGGTTTCAGTTATCCACAGTTTACTGTGACCCAGAAATAGCCTTTAATTTTGTTTAATAATGACCTCAAAATGCAAAAGTAGTGATGGTGAAAGTTCTTCAAAGCCTATGATAAGCCATGAAGTGCTTCCAATCAGTGAAAAAGTGATAATTCTCCACTTATTATCCATAATTTATCAATTAAACATTATAATAGGTATGTATATATACATTTCACTACTATCCATGGTTTTGGTATCTACAGTAGGTCCTTGGAACGTATCCCCCATGGATACAGGGATCCTACTGTATCAAGCCACTCGTATGTGGTAGTTTTGGGCAGGTGGTACAAGGCTCACTGGTGTGTGGTGTCTGTGAACATGCAGTGCAAGTCTCATCGGTGTGCAACAGTTGTTGGCACCTGGTGTAAAGCTCACTGGCATGTGATGGTCACTGCTGAGTCAGCAGCTGTTTAAAATGTTTTAAGCGGTAAAGCATTATAGCAATAGCTGCCAACAACTATTCGATGGAACTTCATTATTTTACGCTTTTCAATACATACAACATGTATACATCATGTAATAAGCATTTTTTTTGTGCAACTTTTGTTTGGGTACATAACAAAAATTGCTTGGGTTATATTCAATTAGTTAAGATTAGATTAAATAAGCTAATGTTTGGTTAGGTTACGTATCCTAAAAACGCCACTCATCTTTGTTACACTGGAAAAGGTGCGAGACATGCCTCAAGGCTGCAGGACCTAAGTAAATGTATGCATTTTAATTATAATATATCATCCAAAATAATTTGCACAAGAAATGATTCTGTGCTGTGCATAGGCTGTATGTACTGAAAAGTTAAAAATAATGTCAGAGTTCCACTAAGGAGTTGTCTGTATTATTATTATAATCGAAAAGAAGCACTAAACCACAAGGGCTATACAACTGGAGTTGTCTGTAAATATTACAAATTTTTTTTTTTTTTTTTGCAATTTTGAAGTTTATATTTTCCTATGCAGCAATATTTATGATATTACTTTTAATGTTATTAGTGCTATTATTTTAATGTACAATGGATTACTTGCTTGTGGCTTTTTCTCTGGTATTTTGTATACATTATGATGTATCTGAGCAAAATGCACAATTCACATATTACATTACTATCAATGCTTTCACTTCATATACTGAGTGTCCTTAGTTCATTCCCCAGCTGGGTGGAAACACTGGGCATGTTTCATTATACCTACTGTCCCTGTTCACCTAGTCATAGGTAGGTACCTGGGTGTTAGCCGACTGTTGTGAGTTGCATCCTGGGGTACAAAATTGAACGACCCTAATGGAAATACGACAAACAGTCCTTGATGATACACACACTTATTTTGGTTATCCTGGGTAGCTAACCCTCTGGGTTAAAAAAAATTGAACAAAAATTATCCTTGGGAAACACTAAACCCATATGTATGATAATCTATGTAACTGTATTTGTGTATACCTGAATAAACTTACAGAGCACATGGGGAATGTGAAGCAATATGATGTTTGGATTTTTAACCCGGGAAGGGTTAGCCACTCAGTATTACCCAATAAATCAATATATAATAATAAAATAATATCTATATTTCAAGTACATGTACAAGGTATACAGGCCTAGCTAACATCAATGACATACTACTATATAGAAAGCCGCTTGTTATGCTGAGCATTATAGGCAAATTAGGTAAATTTTGTCCCAAGAAGTGACCCACATCAGTCAACTAACATCCAGGTACAGTACCTATTTACTGATGGGTAAACAGGGTCAACAGGTGTAAGGAAACACGCCCAATGTATCCATAACTAAGTGCTAAACCCTGGGGTCCTTCAATCTTGTCCCCCAGGATGCAACCCACACCAGCTAACTAACACCCAGGTATCTATTTACTGCTAGGTGAACAGGAGCAGCAGATGTAAGGTAACATGCCCATGTTTCCACCCATGCCGGGGATTGAACCACGGACCCTCAGTGTGTGAGGCAAGTGCGTTGCCAACTGAGCCAAGGAGGGGAACATAGTCCAATTTTTCTCACAAGAATAATCACCTGCATTACGAAGCCTCCCTTAGGGGTCGCATATCACATAGACATAAAAGAATACTGTTACTTAATGCAGTTAGGTACCAATCTCTTACAAAATCTCAATGTAATGTTTGCAAAGACATAAAATAAATAAATAAATGTTTTACTTCTAGATGTCTAGTTCATCTTCACACTATTGTGAAGAAACCGCTACTTAAAATTTTGTACCCCGTTTCGTAATTTGTTTTAGTTTGTAGATGACAACCGTATAGATTTGTGAACGATTAATCTGAGATACTGATGTAATAAATATGTTTTACTTACAAAGTAGAAATATACGAAGTAGAAATTAGTAATGGTGATGCCATTGTTGTGATCCAGCTGCTGCACCAACCTTGTACCTTACTGCCCATACAGCTTTACGGAATTTTTCATCAAAAAAACAATGAAATGGCTTTAACTGAATAAGTAATCTAGGAAAGTTAATAAGTTTTCATAAAAGTTCATATATACGTTATTTTTTATAAAGCTTCTATACAATCATCTATTTAACCCAAATCATGAACATTAAAATGGTATAAAATACCGACAGGTTGTTAGGTAAGACACATATGCAACAGTTAGGTATCTTTATTTCGAAACGTTTCGCCTACACAGTAGGCTTCTTCAGTCGAGTACAGAAAAGTTGATAGAAGCAGAAGATACTTGAAGACGATGTAATCAGTCCATCACCCTTAAAGTTTTGAGGTGGTCAGTCCCTCAGTCTGGAGAAGAGCATTGTTCCATAGAATGAAACAATATGGAGATGAAGTGACAGGATGGAGCCTTATATAGCGCCAAGAGGTGAGACGTAGGTCACTAGAAGAGGTAAGAACTCAGATACACAAATAACCCGCACATAAAAGACAGAAGCTTACGACGACGTTTCGGTCTGACTTGGACCATTGACAAAGTCACACTAACAGAGGTTAGGTTAGGTAAGGTTCGTCAGGAAACAGGACAAATGTTTCCTGACGCGGGTCTACAACAACACTAACAGATACGATAGGACTCACAGGTAAGGACCCACGAGGGGCGAGGGGCAAGTGGGGACAGTGCGAAGAATAGATGGTGAGAGGAATGTCTTGAGTTGAAGAGAAAAGAGTCAGGACTAGACCCAACTGCTAAGCCTGGATAAACAATAACGAAGTTGACATAAAAAAAATAACAGGGACTCTGCGGGTGCTGACAGCAACTGACTGGAAGCACTTTAACCTGCAATGACTGGATATGGTTCAGGGGCAGTTGTTTTAAAAGGGCGACGCAAAACGCACACCAAGCATTTCAGCCCTTAAAAAACGCAAAAAGACACAGCTATACGGCAAGGGGCACTTTTAATTTATTTGAAATTTAACCCAAAAATCAGATAATTTTGTGTATTGTGGTCAGGTCCCGGGACATTAAATTTTGGAAAAAGATTTACACTTTTGTAAGGAGTTGAGAGTATCACTAAAAATTTAGTCCGTTCATTTTTGTTTCAAGTCTGTCAATTGTTTTTCCTAAGGTTTCCCAGTTACGTTAAAACGTGTGTTTGTCGTGAGGTGGGAGATTCACGGGTGGAAAAATCGCCCCACCTCACTCCCAACACCCAACGAAGCACGATTCTGGATACTTAAAAATTTTTAGTGCTTTTGTTGGAAATTAAATCAGAGGAGGGAAATAAGAAGTAAGGACGAATGAGAGCTTGAAAAGGGGAGTAGTTTTGTCGGGGACGGCTCCTCTCATTATAAACCTTGAGAGTGCAGTTCCCGCCAGTAGGCCTTTGTAGTATGTAGATTTGAAGTCAGGGGTTGTCGGGGTAATCCCAAAGGGACAACTGTGGGGAAAGAACGTGGGAGGGGGGAGGGGAGGTGCTTGTTTTAATTTCGACAGGATGGGGACTCACCATTTATGGAAGTAAGTGTTTTTTGACTTATTGGGTTGGTTTTTGATGCCCCCATAAAAAATTCCCAGGCGGAATCCGTCGACCCTCTTTGTGTTCGGGTGAAGGAAACGAAAATTCTCATTTTTTTGTGATTTGGTGATGTGTCAGCGTGGGAAAAAGGAAATTGTGTTAGGGAAAAGAGGTTCTGGTAAATATTTGGTAGAGAAAATGGGGTGGGGGATAGGACGAGCCTTGGGTACACCGTTTTTTAATGTGAAATAGCAGAATAATATCCTGAACGTTAGTCGTTCTGCCATCTAAAAAATTACATAAAATTTCATAAATTTTTAAAGTTAAGTAAAAGGGAAGTGCAAAGTTTGTTTTTTAATCCCCATCCCAAACGTGTCAAAAGTTTTTTAATCTTTGGTACCAAAGGGGGAAGTCAGTTCTGGGCTTTATTGAACGTAAATTTTTCGGGATTACATTCGAACGTTTTTGGGTAGACTTTTTTTTTTCGGAAACCAAATTTGCTTTCAGAACAATTTTATGTGTCTCTGGGTGAGTCTGAGTGCATATTTACAATCTTTTTAAAAGGGTCTTCCCTAAAATTTCAAAAAAGGGCAAAATGGTCAATTTTTCTTGGGTCAGTCAAGTTTTTTCCCGGGTTTTGGGTATGAGACATGCATTTGGGCATTTTTAAAAGAATGGGGGGAAATAGCAGATCTAGAGAGGCTTTAAAAGTCAGTGATAGCAAAAGCAACAGAAAGGGGAAGGTGACGAAGGGACTGATGTGAGCCCTGAAGCTCCTGAGCTTTTTTTGGAAGGGGGTTTAGTAAGGAGTGAACATCATTAACAAAAAAGGAGAGTTTAGGGGAGTGGGGAAAGATAGGGTATTTAGTTTATGTTGGGTCAGGATTTGTTTAACTCTTCAGGGTTGGATCCCCATTTTTCTACATCTAAGTGGGGTGCTATGGCAGTTGGCTGGGTTTGGGGAAATTTTTCCATATGTTTTTGAAAATATGTCCCGCTTCAGCAGGGTCAAGATCTGTCTGTTTTTGCGTTTGTGTCAAAAAGGGTTGTGGATCGGGGGGGTGCCTGAAATTTCCGAAGGGTGCCCAAAAAAAGTTTTGGGGATTCTTGTACGCTGAACTCTTTAGATTTATAATTGTTTTGCAATCCCGGGGCGGGGCACATCAGGTATGGATATATGTGTACGTAAAATGTGAGGTCCCTCGGATGATTTTGAGTCTTTTTGGTTTGCTAAAAAAACGGTGTCTGTAACTGTGAAAATTTTTTTGTTCTTTCTGATGGACGAAAAGAGTATCGACTTTGGGTGTTCTTTGGGTCCCTCGTACATTTTGGGGAAATTGATTTTTGAATGCGTTAAATTTTTGTGTGTCATGTCGATACTGGTCTATTGTTATAGTTGTGTGTGAGTCAAGGTGTTTAAGCGTTGTTTGAACAGACCCAGCTCCCTGAGAAAAGTGGGAGGAGCGAATGGAATGGTATAGGATTTGGGGGAAATATGCAAAATATAGGAATGTGGTCGATCCAGAGAGCGGTCCGGTTTTGTGTATGATGAAGGATTAAGCTCTTTTTTAAAAAAATTTTATAGGGGGGCCTTTGCCATTATGAAGATTTTTGGGGAAATGGGTCCAGATTATGAGATGTTTCTGTGTTAAAGTGTATGAATTTGCCTTTCCACGCGTTTTGGGGGTTTGTCATGGAAATCGTGTGTTTGGCATTTAGGTCGGGGAAATAGATAAAAGGGAGATGTGTGTTAAAAAAATGGTTAATCATGAAAAGTTAATGTTTTTATGGGGTCTGGGATATGTCTGTACAGGGGATTGGTCCCTGTATCGGTAATTTTCACAGCCATGCTGTGAAAAAGTAAATGGAGGGATAAGAACTCTGTTTTATTGTATTTTTACAAGAATACTACGCCATTCCAGGCAGCAGGGGAATTTCGGGGTGTATCCTAAATGCTGATAAAGTTTATCATCAGTACCACGTGCGTTTTAAAAGCAAATCGGGGTTTTTTCTGATTCAACAGGTCAGCAAGAAAAGTATTTTTTGCTTATAAGCTCTTATGTTAAATTGAATAACCTTAAAGCCATGGTTGGGGTTTCTTGAAGGACGAGATTGTGAGCCTTTCACACACCCATTATTTTTTGGGGCGGTTTGATTTACGGTTTCTGGATTGGGAACGGGGAAGGGGGAAGGGGGAGAGGGGCATGGAGGGAGGTGGAGCGGAGGAGAGGTCGAGGGGGTGGTTTTATAATTAAATACAAAAACTATCCAGACATTTGGGGAATCCGGGGGGAGAAGTCAGATGTTGTTTTCCCCAGTAAAGTTCAGCTTGGGAGTAAGAAACGAGAAAGGGCGAGAGAGGAAGAAGGGGTTAATCGATGGTGTTAAGCCAGGCGGGAAAAGGAGTAGAAGGCATGATTGTGGCATATAGGGGAAGGGGAAGGGGCTGCCGGGGTAGAAACTTGAAGGATTTTCTGGAGGGGGGAAAGAGAGCAGTTGGAAAAATTCAATTTTGGGGAAAAAAGAAAAAAGGAGGGAAAATGATGGGGCAAAATTGTTGGCTTTCAAAAGATCATTTGCATTGTTGGAAGTTGGCCTTTTAAAATGCTTTTTTGACAGTAACGCCGTGAGCACAAGGTCTCAAGGGTATTAATTTTTTTGAGAGGGAGGCCGAGGAAGGTGGTTTGTGCAGCAGCAGCTAGGGAAGGGTAATTTTAAAAAAGTGGTGAGGGGGAACATAAGAGTTTTTGTTGGTAAGTGGATGAGAATGTTGTCTGTGTTTGTGAGCGTGGGGTCAGACGGGTTTGGGAGGTTCAGAGGTTGGTCTTTTCCCAAGAAGAAAAATAATCCTTTCGGTTGGGCAGTTGAAAAAAATAGCAGAAGGCTGAGAACAGTGCAAACATTTTTTAAATGTTGGAACTTTTTTTCCATGTGTGGCCTAGAAGAACACCTGGAACAAGCTGTTGCTTGTCTCAAATATTCTTTAGATGCCAAATCAAAAACATTTAGCCGGTGAATTTCGACATATTAGGTAGAAACAATGAAGTGGTGAATAAGAAATAGTTAGCTCAAAACCATGTTTGAATAGTTTATCAGCCCTCAGGAGTGAACATCTGATCTTAAGAAAATTTGAGCGTTCGGGTGGGAAAAAACCCCCAACTGTGACTTATTTTTAGTTGAAAATTTTTTGTCATCAAAGGCGTCTTGGGTTCTGGGTTAAACGTTTAGCAGGGGAGTCAACAAATTTTGCCACGACTGTACCCTGGGCCTTTTTATCAGGACCCACGATAACAAAAACCCGCCCGAAAAAGCTTTTTTCGGGCTTCCTTACTTGTACATAGATCAAAATTGACAGGATCAAGATTTACCTTACATCCCGGGATGAGTCTTAAAGATGTTTTAATCATTCGAGCCTGGGTAATATTGAAAAAAATGAGGCATAGTCAAACGTATCCTTGTCACTTTTGAGTACTTTAAACATCAAGGCCATTGTCGGAAAA